GAAGATATAGAACAGCCCCATCAACCACTTCCAGAATTTCTCCAGTGCCCCTGAAACTACGGGTCTGCTTTTTTGCCCTGTGGTTTTGCCTATCCCTGAACGTCTTCAAAACTGAACCCTGTAATACGGAGTCTTTGGGGTCTGGCTTCTCTCAGCTGGGAAAATGCTTCAGAGATGGACCGGGGATTTAGCTCAGTGGCTCTGCCACCTGCCTCGAAAGCACAAGGTCCTGAGTTCAATCCTCAGTACAAAAAAAAAAGCTTCAGAGATGCATCCACACTGTTCCGGCATTGGTGGTCTGTCCCCTTCTGCTGAGGAGTGCAGCATACTGAGTTTCTGCATCCCCAGCGGAAGGTCATCCTTCAACTCCTCTGGTTTTCAGGAACACATAAAGGGACTGAGCAGGAAGCTCAAGGGTGGGGAACAGATCTCTTTTCTGAAGCCTTCCTCACTTATCTAAACTCACAACAATCATGGGGGCACAGGTGTTGTCTCCACATTAACAGATGAAGGGCACTGGGTCAAAAATAGCATACCTAGACTTCAGGATGGATTTCCCTGCAGTTTGGTATAGGTTAGTCCTTTTCTTTTTTCCAGTACCAGAGACTGAACCCAGGGCCTTCACACTGAGCTATATCCTCACCTCTATTTTATTTTTTTTTATTTTTCATTTTTAAATTTTTGGTACCAGGGATCGAACTCAGGTCCTTGCGCTATTTTATTATTTTTGAGACAGGGTCTCACTAAGTCACTAAATTGCCCAGGCTGGGCTCAAACTTGTGATTTCCTGTCTCACCCTCCCAGGTCCACTATATTTCAGCAAGCAGATTGTAGGGCTAAAATGAATTGCTTTCCTTGCATTCACAGTACTCTGTTTGAGTTCTCAGATATAAGACGACATTGTTTACCTGTCAAAGAGGCTTTGAAAATACAGGAAGCGATTGGGAAATTTTGTACCAATATTACTTACCAGTTTCAGAGCATGTGAATGGTTTGTGAGCCTCTTCCCAGAGAAGCAGAGATAAATTACAGGGTAATAAAATTTGTTGAAGGTGACATCATATTTCCACCATATAACAGCTCATAATTTGAAATATAAAAAGAATACCTACTGTTGGTCTATTTCTGGTTGTCATGATATGGTGCCAATGAGAACAGAAGTTATTTATCCTCATTTAATTTTATTATTTTGGATTTTTTTTGTGTGTATTTTTGAGGCAGAGCCTTGTTATATAGTTCAGGCTGGCCTTGAACTCACTGTGTAGTCTAGCCTGGGCTCACACCCAAGGTGATCCTCCTGCCTCAGCCTCTCAAGTGTTAGGATTATAAGCATGCACCACCACGAGCAGTATGATCCTTTTCCCAACCCTGCCCTCCTACCCCAGAACAGGTTTCTGTTGGGTGTTTGACTTCTGCTTCTGTTTTGTGCCAGTGTTGGGGCAAACGTACTGGTGTAAGAGCCAAGGGATTCACCTGTAATCCCAGCACTCTGAGAAGGGAAGCCAAGAGGAGCATGACTTCGAATTTAGCCTGGGAAACTTAGTGACAGCGAGGACCCTGTCTCAAAATTTTAAAAAAAGAGAGCCAGGGATTTAGCTCAGTGGTTCCGCAGCCTGCCTTGCAAGCGCAAGGACCTGAGTTTGATTCCCGGTACCAAAAAAAAAAAATTTAAAAAAAAAGAAAAAGGAAAAGAAAAAGGGCTGGGATGTAGTTCAGTGAGAAGGCTCTGGGTTCAGTTCCCAGTACAATAACTAAATAAATTAATAGTAATAAAATAAAATGAGTCAAGGATTTGAGTTCCAGGCCCAGCTCTTCCACCAAAGGGGTCAAGTCAAACCTCTTTGGCCTTCAGATTCTTCATCTGAAAGACAGAGGTGACACCTCACACTGCACCACTGACAACAAGCGACAGTGAACAAGCTAGTTTCCTTTCAGACATCAGGAATGAAGGTTAGAAAGGGCCTTTACTCCCCCTGAAAAACACCTGATGTACCTGAAGTCTTTATTGGTGACAGGAAATATGTCGATGCCAAAGGGCTTTACTGTTACCTCCCGGACAGGCCCTTCACCATCTCTGGCATCTGGAGCATCTGTCCCCATCAGGAACCGCCCACCTGGCAGCCAGACCATGTCAGCAGCCTGTGCATTTCCTGCAGAAGAGGGCAGGTATCAGTAATGCATGCATAGATATGTGACAAGTGGGATTATTTGGATTAAATGTAATGCTCATCATAGCATAAAATGACAAGGCTGAACAACCGAACATTAGCCAGCTGTGGTGGTGCACACCTCTTCACCAGCACTCAGGCTGAGGCAGGAGGATCGAAAGTTCAAGCCCAGCATGAGCAACTTAGTGACTCAGTGAGGCCGTTTCAAGATAAAAAATTAGAAAAGGGCTGGGATGTGATTTAGTGCAAAGGTCCTGGGTTCTATCCCCAGTATTGCATTGACAACAAGAAAAACATCGGCTTTAAATTCTTATTCTGCCATTTTATTTGCTTGGGGATCTTAGGCAAGTTACTTAGTCTAAGATCCAATTTCTTCATCTATTTTATAGCTGGGAGCTGTATGAATTAAAAAATGTGAAATAAAAAAAATGTGAAAAAAAAAAGTGAAATACTGAGCTCATGGTTGCTCCTTACTCGCTTATTTATTCCCCAATACAACCCTTTGTCCTAGCCAGGTAAAACTTAAACTATAATCTCAAATACATGTAGCATTTTGTTTTTCAGACAGAGTCTTACTATATAGTCACACTTGTCTTGAACCCACTATGTAGCCCAGGCTAGCCTCAAACTTGCAGCAATCTGCCTGCCTCAGCTTCCTAAGTGGTAGGATTTAAGGTATGGGCCACCATACACAGCTTATATCTAGCACATTCTACCCATTTTTCTGCTCATGATGTTTTTCTTCTTTCTCTCAATTTCTTGAATTTATCTTTTTTTTTTTTCAAGACAGGGTCTTATGTTGACCAGGTTGGTCTGAAACTCATGGGCTCAAGTGTTCCTCCCCCCTCAGTCTCTCAAATGCTGAGACTACAAGCCCCAAACACTGAGTCGGGTATAAATTCTTTGTTTGTTTTGTTTTGTTTTTTGGCACCAGGGATTGAACTCAGGTCCTTGCGCTTTTGAAGCAGGCCGTGGAACCACTGAGCTAAATCCCCAGCCCTATAAATTCTTAATTATTCTCACTACTATAACATACGCTGCAGAAAGTAAGGGACTGTATCTATTTTGCCTGTGTAGCCCTGGCACCTGGCACAAATGTACTGATTATAATAATTCAGTGAGGGCCAGGGATTTAGCTCAGTGGTTCCACCGCCTGCCTCACAAGTAAAAGGTCCCAAGTTAGATCCCGGGTACCAAAAAAAAAAAAAAATCAATGTGCTCCTTTATAAGCTTGCTGTTCGAATGCTTCAGACAAGCAATAAAAACAACCTTCCATTTCTTTATTCTGTAGGAGGAAACCAAGACCCAAAAGAATTGCTGATTTAAGAGCTGCTTTGGGTCTGGGAGGGCAGCTCAGTGGTAAACTGTAGGGAGAAAAGCTGATCCCGGGACACAGGATTCCACCCAGGACCTTCAGTTCAGCGGTGTTCCCTGGCTTCATGGGACTTCTTCAGTGCTTCCAGGAAAGACATCCTAACACATCAGTTTCTCACAGAGGCCAGACCTTCTCATGTTCCTCAGGACTGTGTCTTTAGATCCTTTCTCATTCCAACAGGACACATGCTCATTTCATCCAGTCAGTTTCCTCAACAAATAAATTTGAAGGAAAAAGAAAAAGGACCAAGCACAAAAACTTCAAATTAAAAGGGAATTAAGAAACAACATATAAAAAAGGGCCAGGAATTTAGCTCAGTGGTTTCACCACCTGCTGTGCAAGCGCAAGGACCGGAGATCGATCCCCGGTACCAAAAAAAAGAGAAAGAAAGAAACAACATATAATCGCAATGTATAAACTTTGTTTCGACCTGAACCCAACAAGCAAATTATAATTAAAAATATTTTAGTGGTGGTGCACCACTGTAATCCCAGCACGCTGGGAAACTGAGGCTGAAGGATCTCAAATTCAAGCTTTGCCAGCCTAGGTAATTCAGTGAGATCCTGTTTCAAAGTTTTAAAAAATAAAATAAAAAATAAAATTTAAGAAGACTGGGCATGTAGCTCAGTATAAAGGCCCTGGGTTCAATTCCAGAACTGAGGGGGAAAACTGAAGAGATGGATTTGAGAGACTGGGTATCATACTGCAGTACTGTCAATGCTCCGGTGGAAGGGTTACTGGAATTCCTCCCGTGACCTCGGGTGTCCTGAGCTAATCTCTGCGAATAAAACTGGCGCCAGGCTGAGATTCACTTCCGGTTCCAGGAGTAAGGGACCCCCCCCCCCAGAGGGCGAGAGTAGTCACACACTGCCAACTATTCAGGCCAGACAAGTATGAGCAGGGAGAGGTCCGCATTTTTCTCTTTCACAGATTCCAGAGAAGTGAAAAGCAGCAAAGCGCCGATGACGCCCGAACCCGGAGACACAGGGCCTCGCACCGCCTCGCCAAGGCGAGCTCGTTCCTGGCGGAGCGCACACCCTTCCCTGTGCGCCCGGGACAGGTGGCGCCGGCAGGCGGCGGAAGCCAGCACACTGACCTAGTTGGAGCCACGGGGTGGACAGGAGGCACAGCACCGGCAGCGGTGGTGAAAGCGAGAGGGCCATGCTGAGCCGCGGGAAGGCGGGGCGTACGTGGCCTATTGCGCATGCGCCCGTACGCACCACGCCAGCAGGCAGCACTTCCGCGCGCGTGCGCACACCCAGAGTTTAGAAACACCCTCTAGCCCCAACCACTGCAGAGGCAGAGCCCTGGGGCCAGCTGGTAATAAAGTAGTGTTGAGGGTCCCTGTTATCCCAGCAGCCCCTTCACTATGCTTGTATATATAATTCTAGACTTATTTCATCTCCTTTTATATTGATTACTTCATTTAGGGCATTATTTCACTACAAGACCACAGAAAGGTTCCAATATTTATTGCACTCACTGTAAGATACGAAGCCCTCAAAATACAAAGCTTATGCACCAAAACTACTCAAGGACCGCAGCCGTTAGCTGCATAAAAACAATTGCATGGAAACTAGAAAACAGTACTTTGAAAAAATGGTGATATTAGAGTTGGGTGTTTTACAAAAGCAAAGTCCATAAGCTTAAAAATAAGTTATGCTAAAAAAAAAATCTCTATTTCACCTAGTAACCCCAGTCCTTAGTCATCAGCCTTTAGCCATCTTTTTACTTCTACCTTTTTGGTTTTGTTTTCTGAAGCAAGGTCTGACTACGTAACTCAGGCTGGCCTAGAACTCCTGGTGATCCTCCTGCTTCAGACACCTCACCCTGCTTCTACCACTATTCTATTTTTGCTACTTCATCCTCAGTTTTGTTTTGTCTCTACTTAGTTCAGTCTTCCTAGCCACTACACCACGTTAACTTTTCTGAGGGAGCACTTTAGCAAAGCTATTTCAAAAGCATGAAAAATTCAAGTGATTTTACTTAGAAATTTATATTAAGTAGCTAGATGGTTCCATATTTTTAAATCATTCAATTTTCATTTATATTAGCATAACATTTAATATATAAATGTTTAACAGGGAACTACCGGTTAATTTAAAACATCCGCAGGAAATTATTAAACCATTAAAAATTTGTTTCTCAAGGAATATTTAATAAACAAGGTAGGACACGTAACTTTATGATAATGCAGCTAAAACAAAACCACATGTTTTCTGGGTAAAAAGGACCCTCTTGAACTGGGAATTTAGCTCAGTGGTGCCACCGCCTGCCTTGCAAGCACAAGGTCCTGAGTTCAATCCCCAGCACACACAAAATAAGGACCTTCTATGTGTGCAACTAAAAAATACTGTAATTAGAACTCCACAACATCATGATTTGAATAGATGCCGAGGGTTCTCTCCTTTTATTCATGTGGAAAAAAAATTCCTTTGAAAATCATTTGAAGCTTGGACAAAAATCCCACAACTCTACTCCTCAGGATCATTCTGTAGTCTTCGGGATTCAGATGACACCAGGGAGGCTTCTGTTCAGCCTTTCAGAGAGGACATTCCGGCCCGCATGATCTCGTCCACCAGGAGGATGTTTGTGGCAATCACAGTGCTGAAAGGGGGAAAAACACAAGGCTCAGCTGTGAAATCTAACACAACCCAGACTGTATTTCCCACAGAACTGCAACCACCAGTCCAGCGCAGGTCCCATTTGCTCTCGCTACTTTAGTCCATTTACCACTACATTCTTTTGGGGGTGAGGGGGTCAGAACACACAAAACAAAGAATAGGTGCTTCCCTAAAAGCCATTTTAGGTTTCGTTTGCCCACACTTACCAGGAGTGAAGCAGCTGTTTCTTCACACAATAGTTATCCCATACACCTGCTTCTGCTGCTGCCATCGGCTCACCTGAAAGGTAACATCACATACAGTACGCCACAATATTGGAAAAAACAGGGAACCCTTATTCTACGTTTTTGTTTTTGGGAGGAGCTTTTTTTTCTTTGGTACCAGGGATCAAACTTGGGACCTTGCTCTTGCGAGGCAGGCAGTGGAATCACTGAGCTAAATCCCTGGCCCATGGCAGTGAGTTTTTTGAGAGAGCATCTTGTTCTGTAGTGCAGGCTGGCCTTGAACTCACAGCGATCTTTTTGCCTCAGCCTCCCAGGTGCTGGGATTACAGGTGTGCACCATCACACCCAGCTCTATCCATTCCATTTTTATATTTTATTTATCCCAACCTAGAATCCAGAGTTCCCATCTCCAACTGCAAAGAAATCACCAAGATGCCTTGGTCCTCCCCAACATTCCCAGCTTCAGCTTGGCTGTTTATCTAGCTCTCCCCTATAAATGTCGCATTCTCTTACCAGTGTTCAGGTCTACACCCACGAGTTGACCTGACTCTGAATGTTCTGCTTGAATTTTAACTAAGGTTTCCTGAAGGTCAAAGCCAGAGTTCTGAGCAAGGACCTAAAATAAACAAATTTAATTCTTGAAAATACAGGAACCAAGAATTGAGGGGAAAGTCTACAATAAATGAATAGTATTTCTAATTAATTTTTAAAAAGCACAATGAAGACAACCATTACTTTTGTTCCCTCTTCCCTTCAGAGAATAGGCAGACATATGTTACCAACCAACCTCTAACCCGCCACAAACCTAGCAATACACTGCTCACAGACTAGATCCTTCAATGAGTTTAACAGAAAATGATGGTATCTGTAGTTTAACTAAAAACAACAAATCAAGTTTGTACACCAGTATAACCCCTACACTGCATACGTTCTTAAAATAGTTTTCTCCCCATCTGAAACTTCAGGGACATTCAAGTCTCCCAAAGGAACAAAATACTCAAGATGATATGGGGACACTCTAGACTCGGGAAAACCGATCAAATTTGTTTATCCAAACGTTTTCACATTATGAAAAACCTACATTATCAGAAGATTCAATCAGCTGTATTGTTTTTGGTGCAGCTTAGAAAACTGTTAAAGGTGTTCCTACCTTGGGAATAATGAGCAACGCATCAGCAAATGCCTGGACTCCGAGCTGGGCCCGGCCCTTCACACTGGCTTTGTGTTTAATCAGTGCTTGTGCCATCGCCACTTCTACTGCGCCAGCGCCGGGAACCACGCAGCCTGCTCAGGCGGGAGAAGAGAGAAACGCTGAACTAAGGAGAAGAGACTGTAGAACCAACTACAGAGAAAAAAACATGAATTCCATCTGAAAGCCACAACACAAGCAACAAACAAACCGAACAGCCAAATGGCTCAATTTAACTAGCACTTGGCAGCTCTTTGGAGCTGATGGGTATTAGTTCACTTATTTGTAGTCACTTTAATACTGATACACTGTGAAAAAAACAGTGTATCATCACAGTCCTTTTAAAGGGAAGCCTTTTCTTTAGCATGGTGTCTGGCTGTGTAAACTACTGATGAGAACACAGTATTCAGCCATGCTTCTTAGACTAACAAGGAGAGTACAGTGCGGCTCTTACCATCATCGATAGCATTTTTGACAGCCCTCAAGCCATCTCTTATTGCGTCCTTGATCTGAGTGAGAGTGTGCTTATTTGGTCCTTTGACCAACAATGTGACAGAGCGGGGGTTGTTACATTTCTCAATAAAGGTGAACTTCTCTTCTCCCTATGTGTAGGAAAGATTCTATTTTCACAAACAGCACATGGTTGCAGAGTGAACACAGGGGAGGGTGTATGGAGAGAATATGTAGCACATTAATAGGGCACAATGTTTATCATAGTAAAAGAAAATTTTAGTGAAAAATTCACACATGAAAGAAATGGGAGCTGGGTGTGATGGCACGCGCCTGAATCCCAGCACTCGGGAGGCTGAGCCAAGATCAGTGAGTTCAAGGCCAGCCTGAATTGCATAGCAAGAGGGACCCTGTCTCAAAAACCAGAGAAAAGAGGGGCTGGGGATTTAGCTCAGTGGTTCCGGCAACTGCCTTGCAAGTGCAAGGACCCGAGTTCAATCCCTGGTGCCAAACAAAACAAAACAAAACAAAAAAAACCCCAAAGAAAAGAAATGGGATTTTTCCATCAATGGCTTATTATTATCTTTACATGTAAATCATCAAATGTAAATAAGAAAAATCTGACCCTGAGTTTGAATTTTTCTACTGAAGAACTCATGAATAGAATAGTACAGGTTGTTTTCAGACAAAAATACACTTACCAAAGTATACTCATAAACCAGTCCTGCATGTCCCAGACAGTCAGGCTTTAGGTCATCAAGGGAATTCAGAGCCACCCCACCACAAGCAAGAGTCAGCCTGAAATATTAAAGAGTTTTAAGGGACACATGTGGGCAACATTACCAACTACCTTCAGAGAACACTAATAATTTTAAAGAAAATTTTCAGAATTACATAGGAAATTACATTCTATTTTTTGGTACCAGGGATTGAACAACTCAGGACCTTGCACTTGTGAGGCAGGCGCTAAGCCACTGAGCTAAATCCTTGGGCCAGAACTTATATTCTAAAATGTATATCAACCTATGTCTTCCTATTCACCATCAACTAGTAGAAAACCTGTTCTCCATTTAAACCAGCCTTCCCAAGTCAGTAAATATTCTGATACAAAACGTTAATGTGGACTAGAGCTGTTTGGGAAAAAGTATTTCTCTGGAACTCCTTGACTAGGAAAACTGTTCCATATATGTATCATGGCTTAAAAAAGAAATCGAGTCTGCATCAAGGACCACAGAATGATGCAGCTCTTGCCCGGCATGGATCAGGCCCACAGCGCCCAGTATTGGAACTGTTATCTATATTGTACCACAATAAAACAAAAGTGCAAAAATTATATAAGTAGAGAGGGGAAAAGAATTTTAATTCACTTGCAAAATATGTAAGATTGACATTACTCGGTAACCTGTCCATACCTCTCCATATTTCTTCTTTTAGCTCTACGCAGAGCTACTATGCCTTCTTTTGCAAGAGCATCCAAAGAAAAAGGATCAATTCCCTACAACAAAATAAAAAATTAGCTTCAGTATCTTTCACCTCAGAGAAAAATACAGCAGATAATTTCATTTATAAATTTAATTTCCACTCACCTTTTGATTAATAACAACAAACCCTCTATCTGAATCACCACAGACCTCCTTTTTCAGTTCTACTATTTTTTTAACTCTATCTTCAATGAATTTTCTTTCAGCTTTTACTAGT